ACACACACACACACACACACACACACACACACACACACACAACACAAACACACACACACACATACATACATACACACACACACACACACACGTGCGCGCGCGCGCGCGCGCACAAACATGAAACAACCAACAAGCTAACACACATACCCGCCTTCCAGCCGTCCTAAACGTCCTGATGTTCTCAAACTTTTTGTTGAGGTAGCGAGTTAGACGCTTCTGCTCAGATTTGGTTTCTATGACAACCAAGTGAGAGTTGAGCTTCTGACAAGCGCTATTGGCGGGGCCGAACTGAGCCTTTTCCTCCGCGAACACTTTGTAGCAGTTGGTAGCGATCTTCTTGAAACCGTCTCGGCAAACTATGAAAATACAATACATTAAATATTATAATTGACTTGTTGTTGTGGTTAAAGATTTTTAAAACTATTATGATTATTGGTGTGTTGGCGGATATTGTAGTAGTAGTAGTAGTAGTAGTAGTAGTAGTAGTAGTAGTAGTAGTAGTAGTTGTAGTAGTAGTAGTAGTAGTTGCATTTTGTTGTTCCAGCTATTATTCCTGCTGTTGCTACATGGGTTGTTGTTTCTGCTGTACTCATAGTCTATCTTTATCTTGTAGTTCTTTTTAAGGTTTGCTGTTGAAGTTTAAAAATCCTCCTCAAACACATAGGGGTTACTTCAAAGTTCATGTATCATAACGACAGGCACACAAGATAAAATCATATCCCTGTTAGTAATCTCTAGATCAAAAAGATACGTTAACGTCGATACAACACTGTTGTATAGCAAGTAGTATAGCATGGAATCTATCCAGAAACATATCGGCAGAATTCTGTTATCAAGCGCACCATTCTCTCCCTTTAAAACGTGTGCCGTTTACCCCAGAGGGTGCGTGGCGGAGCGGATAGTGTGCTCATGTCCGAAGCGGAAAGTCCGGGTTCGAGCCTCGGTTCGGACACGGATATTGTTCGGCCCCTCCTGCCCACCCAGCAGTAATTGGTACCTGACTTCGAGTTGGGGATGTAAAGGCGGCGTGGAAAGGAACTGGCCACCCTACCACAATATGCCGAAGGCCCAGGAAGTTGTCTCACTAACAAGGCCATCCACAATGTCCGGATCGGATGCGGGAACAACTTTACTTTTACCTTTTACACTACACCACACTGACCCAAATTAAATCAACGCTGCATCTTCCTGCCCTATCAAGATCAATCAGGACGTACTGGGATACATCCTAGCTTACAGACTTAGATATCCAATATAACAACTATTTTCCTACCAGTCTTTGTATGTAGCGTTTAGGCGTTTCACCGTCACACGCAGAAAACGTGAGTTCGATTCTCGAGTTACATCAAGTGTTTTGGTCTTTCTACTAGAATAGGGTATATTTATCAGCCTGGGTTGGACCTTGTAGACAATGTTGAAGCCCGCCTCCTAGATGATCTGAATGTGTCGATGGAGGTGAAAAATACCAAGGTAGAAAATGATAAATGTCTTCCTCATGTGAATAGACTTACGTTTATTGTATGGAAGGACTCCTCCTCCTCAGCCTCCTTCTCCTCCTCTTCCTCCTCTTCCTACTCCTCCTTTTCCTCCTTCTTCTCCTCCTTTTCCTCCTCTTCCTCTCTCTCCTCCTCCTCTTCCGCCTCTTTCTCCTCCGCTTTCTCTTCCTCCTCCTCCTCCTTTTCCTCTTCATCTTCCTCCTCCTCCTCAGAGTACTTCTCCTCCTCCTCCTCTCTCCTTCCTTCCTCGATCTTTTTCTGACTTCCTCCTGTTCACTTCAACCTACATCTTGTCTACAGCTAGGCCCATCACCATAATACAATAGGAACATCTCCACCACCACCAAAACCAGCAACAACAACAACAACAATAACAACAACAACAACAACAACAACAACAACAACAACAACAACAACAACAACAACGACAACAACATCATCAACAACAACAACGCATTATAAATTAATGATTGCAGTCGCCTCGACTAGGATATCGACATCTACCCCCCCCCCCCCTTTTTTTTCCCCCCCCCCCTCCCCCCTCCCCCCCCCCCCCCCCTTCTTCCTCTCCTGCAACCACCACCCTTTCTCCTCTTCATTTTGGCAATTCTTCTCCTAAATTCTTTTCCCTCGTTTACTCCTCCTGCCCCCCCCCTCTCCCCCATCCCCTCCCCTCTCCAATCTCTCTCACCTGACTCCTCCGAGTCCACCCTCTCGTTACACTTGTACATATCCCGGAGTTGTGCGATGTCTATGGTGCTCAGGCCTTGTCGCTGTCCTATCCTCAGACCCAGCTTGTCGCCGATACCTTTGATCTGGACAGACGGGTGGTGGGGTGGTGGGGAGGGGTGGAAAACGGACACCAGGATAGTGAGTTACCTTCGTATATCTCCCCTTCACCCACCCACCCCCTTATACCCTAATTTTTATCTCTTTTAATTTTTTTTTGTTTTGTCATTCGCTCCCTTTCTCTCTCCCGTTCAATTCCTCTTTCTCACC